AAATGGTAATAACGAGGAACAAAATACAACTAACGTGGAAGTTCAATGGGGTGTACATGGTAATAATCTACATAAAATCAACAAAAAGATACAGGACAAAAAGGCCGTGTGGGCAAGCACTTGAGTGGCGCATGCACGGGGAGAGAACCCTAGCAAGGAATTGAAGCTAATTAGATCAAGATTTTGAGGAATTCAACATTGGAAGTGAAGATGAAGTAGATTTAATTTGTCACAGAAAAGAGAGTTAAATACATTAGCCTTTTTGATTGTGAAGAATGCATGAACATGACTAGATTACAAATCATGAATTGAAATAGATAGCAACATGTGGATTCAAAATCCAATAAATCATCCATAATTTGATAAAAACCAAATTTTTAGAGCTTTCTTAGATTAATTTAGAATATATCAAATCAAACTCTCTTTTGTGTAACATAATTCAAATTCCATACGAAACTAGTAAACTAGAATTGAATTTATTCAATGTGGAATGATACTCTCAACTCGTTGAAATCTATTACTTGTTGATGATCATGTATGCTTTTGAAATTTTCGTGAATGGAATATATCTATTTTTTAGAACAAGATCTCAGAAGACAACCCCTAATGCAATTGTGGATCAACTATATTAGAGATAAAGAATAAGAGTTGTGAAATTCGCAAGAATAGTTAAACTTGTTATTTAAAACCAAAGAATCATTCCTCAACCAAGTTTCACGCATTGCGCTTAGCAAGAGTTGATATAGTATCATCTCGGTGTAAAGGCACTAAGTCCACATAGTGTAAGTGTCGTGCTCTAACTCAAATCGATTTTGGCTGTAAATGATTTTGTGCCAGCCAAATAAAAATAATCAAGAAGTATGATTTCCTGTTTATTAGATGCAAACAAATTCAGAAGCAATGATACCAAAGATTCTGGCAACTTGACAAAATCACACTTTCATAAATGTTCTCGTATATTTTGTGCAATGTTGAATTCATACAATCAAGAAATTTTATTTTTATCGCGTTTCATTCTTTTTTTTGCCTTTTTTGTAGAGCAGATTCTGGTTGTATTATTGGAGCTAAGAAAGCGAAATTTCTTGAAACTTTAAAAAAGAAGTTAATATATGCATATTTTCGAGGATTATTGAGTAATAATAGAGTGAAAATTTTGACAATAACTTTTCATGTGTTCATAATTTATATTCCCTCTGTCCCATAATGATACAGTAATGTTATTCATTGCGAAAATTATCGGTAATCGCTTTATGTGCTGTACACATGACAGTTTTATTATTTGATGTATGAGACAATAAAAAACTATCATATTAATATATCAAATAACAAACTGTTATATGTATACCACGTCGGCCGACTACCGGTAGTCTTCATTATGAATAGCATTATTCATAAAGATACTTTTATTAATCATACATATATATAATTTATTAAAAATATCGTTCCACAAAATAGTCATATGTAAAGAGAGAGAGAGAAACAAAGTGAACTGCACTTCTTTAGCTACATTTGATAGGCATTTGATTAGATAGACTAATTGTATTCTAATAATTATTTCATCAGTTGTTTGTGGTGATTTTATTTAATTAAATTTGCTTGTTTACTTGAAAAAAATTGACCACAAAAATATGAATTTTATTCTTCAGAAAAAGAAGTAAATTTAAATTTTGTTTGCTAAAGAATGCAAGGAAAATTTTGTTGATTTCTTTCTTTATTGCTCAGATTTTATTTCTTTATGCAATATAGAGTTGTACCTTATTCCTTGAAGGAGAATTAATATTAATTTTTTTTTTAGATTATTTCCATACGCTGGCTATACCTTTTACAGGCTATAAGGGGGAGTATTGCTGATTATAATTGTCAATACAAGAGACTGTTTGTGTTGTCTTAATCTTCGAACTTCTCACAGATCCACTTGTAAATACACTACTTAAATGTTTTGAAAACTCATTGGATACATGAGTAATAGAATCAAGTAGAAGAAGGAAACCATTAACACAGCAATATATTTCTCTCAAAAAATTCAGGCGGTGATCAAATAGTTGAGATGGACAAGTTTTGTCACAGTGATAAGGACAGTCAATCTCTTGAAATTGACTACGGTCGAAAAACCAATTTCCAACTATTTTTGCAATTGTCTGCATAAAAATAATTATTTTGGTGATTCAGTTTTGCTCAAAGGGACAATATGAAAGCAACATTAAAAAAAATGTAGTCGTGAAATTGGTAAGGAACATTAACCTTGTTGTTTAACACCTGCGAGTGGGTCCCAAACCAAGTTTCCCCTTCAGTTTGGCAGTGTGTATAGCAGGAATTTATAAAATACAACCTGAAGCCTAAAAACCACATTAAATAGA